GCTGCTCGCATCCCAGATCTTGACCGTCTTGTCGGACGACGCCGACGCGAGCTGTGCCGAGTCGTGGGAGAAGGCCACGGAGTTGACCATATCACTATGCCCTTCGAGCGTCGACAGGCAGGCACTCCATTGATTCCCTGTAATGTTACTTGGCTTAATCGTAATCCACTGTGGCTCTTCGTCCTTAAAATAGCTCTTTACTAGGCTGCTGGCTGGACTAAACAGAAGTGCTGACGCGTATGCCTGTAAGGGACTGTTCTCTATTGCCACCTTATGCGCCATAATAAATCGATGCGCGTCTTGAACAAACCCGTTTAACATAGCCGCATCTTCTCTTTCCTAAATTGTATTAGCATACATAATATAGGAATAGTCGTATAGTGTAAAGTATTACATCTAGTAACGCCTTTAGTTTTGCTACTGAGACTATCCCCTTTGACAGGCTCTTACACAGGCTAAGAGCCTCAAGCCAGTATAGGTATTTTTCCCTTAAGAATTCGTAGACGGCGCCCCCGTCTTGCAGATGAACTAAGGAAGTCGTAGCAGAGGTAAGACTTGAATCGCTAAGGTGATCAATCCAGTAAATGCAAGCGTAACGCGGAGCCGCTAAGGGATCTGGGTCTGGCGGTTCTACTAGCTTAGCAGGATACCCCCACTCACCGAGGCTGTACATGTCTCGTTGAAGTGTCGACATGACTTTAAGCGACCTTGAGAAGACTGTGTAGTGGGCGGCCTCGATTCCAGACGGGAAGATCTCGCTAGTGGCCTTTGCAACTAGAAAGTCCTTTGCTGACTGATGCACAAAGTAGACAGTGTCTCCGCGGTTCGTAAGGAAAGAGCCGCACAGGCTTATTATCTCCCGCACTGACTCAAGATCGTCGGCCATATCGTCGAGGGACTCCACAAGAGCTACAAGCTCTAGAACCGTAATAGGTCGGTATACGATCGCCATTAATGCTAAGATCTGCTGGGAGAGACAAGCACTGTCTGAGGCGCTGATCTGCCGCATCATCCGCTCGTACAGAGAGTCAAGTCCAGGCGGGAATGCATTCAGCTTCGCAAGCGTATTGTATCGTGGGGTCTCTTTAAGGCTTTGACAGACCAAAGCCACCCAGAGGAACGTGTCGTCCGCGTTCGAGGATAGATGGTATAACACGGCGTCTCGCGTTTTGGGGTTATACTTCTTCCATTGCGCTAGCTGGAGCACCTTATGCTTAATAAAAATGCTAACAGCTGCAGCTACAGACTCTGCATTGAGCTCAAGGCATAGCCTCACTCTCTCTCCTGTCATCTCTAGACGCTCCTCGATAGTAGACCAGTTGCGGGTAGAGACGATCCATTTAACACGAGAAGACACGCATGACTTCTGAGCGACGAATTCCAGCAGTTTTGGCAAGTCTGTTACGCACTCGTCAAGCGCATCAACGACCAAGTACGTGCTGTTTAAGCTTGGGTCTTGAAGAATATTTGTAAAGATGTCGGACAAGGCAACCCAGGCGTTCGCATTCTCGAAGAGTGCTTTGCCGGCGTGATCGTACTCTTTCTGAATATGCGAGACGAGTGATGGCTGCTGCTTAACAAGCAAGTATAGCAGACCTCGCAGCACCGCGGTGGCGCTGTTAATTCGCGAGTCCGTAGCCTGACAGAAGAAGTAGGACAGAATCTCGGTCTTAGCTATTAACTTCTTCAACTCGTCTATAATGCCGCAAAGCAGCATCGTCTTGCCCTTACCGGGATCGCCCTTGATCCAGAGCAGTCGGCTGTTCTCGTCGTCACGCCATTGTCGGAAGTTGGCGTTCTCAAGAATCCAGTGGTAAGAGTCCTCTAACAGCCCTCCCTTAGTGTCTTCAATGCGCTTCTTATCGTTGCGAGGATCGGTGAGATGTAGGTCTTGGATGCATTTCTCCTGCTTGGCGATTTCTTCTCGGAGCCTCCGGAACGCACTCTCCATCCCTTCGCCATAGATAGGCGGTATATGGACATCAAAGATACCCAGTAATGAGTACGCTCTGTCTTCTTCACGCTTGGTCTCACGGAATTCTATCCATGACAGTCGCTCATTGACGCCGAACTGGGATAAGGGGGCCCCTTGAAGCGCTAATTCGGGTATAACGGTGATCTCGTGGATTTGCTGTCCAAGCGAACTTTTATCACCAAGTCGCTTGCCTTCGCAGGAGAAGAATTCAACTGAAGCTGGGGCAAGGAGCTCTTGGAGCGTCCAACCTCGAGTAAACCATCTGCTTCTTCGAAAAGCCGATATCCACAGTGACTGACTAGGCTCTTCGTTGATATTGAGAGGATGGCTGGGAACATCTTGTAAATAGACGTAGCATCGAGTCGCCTTGTGGTACCATCGAAACATCGAGTTGATGGCATGCGAGAGTTCAGCCCTGTTTGACTTGTCGATGCAACAGGTGTCAACCCAGAAGTAGTCCAGGCCATCGCGTGCAGCTTGCTCTGCACAGAACCGGATCTTCTCGTAGCCAGGCTTATCCTTGCTGGTGTTCTTCGTTAGGTCATCGAAGGTAACCTCGTCAGCATCGGCGCCCCAGGTATGTGAAAGGATCGCATAGGGAGGAACAGTGGACGCCTCGTTGACTTGAGTGAGAACGAAGTCGCCAGCGTCGCTACATTGCACAAGACGCATTGTTTCGCGTAGAGCTGGATTGGGGCAAGCGGTAGGAACGGATCTCGGTCGGGATCAGACGCGGCGGCCTAGCCGAGAGACGAGATAGCGGCTCGTTGAGCAATTTAGTCCTAGGCTAGTAAGGTCAGCCAGCATGCGAAGAGAGAGGACGCAGATCTGTACCTAAGAATCAAGTCTGACGACGATGCGGCGCGAGAGTGCGCGAGTCCTATTGCCGTGTCAATGAGTTTGGACTAGTGGGGTAAAGGACAAGCTATCGTGGTTGAGGTGAGGCTGATTGCACAGCCTGAAGTGTGGCGCAGCACTGGGGCCGTGGTGTAGTATAACGTAACACGGCTCGGATTAATCTACGAGCCGAGCTAGCAATCGCTCGTGGAGGTTCCTATGCTATGCCTAAACAGCGCAAGTGTCGCGCTATTCTAGAAATGTCCATCAACGGGCTATTTTTGGACGGGGTAGTGTCCACCGCCGCCAGCCGTTCTCTCGTACCAGTACACCACCACCACCATCAACATGGACCGAGCCAGCAAGGTACTGGCGGAGGCACGTAATGCCGATACACCTAGAACATGGGCTGCCCTATCAGAACAGGGTGGTGTTCCTCTCCATACCCTGTATTACCGCGCACGCGGCCGACCCTCCCGCGAGGAGAAGGCCCAGCGCCAGCAATATCTTACCGTAGAGGAGGAGAAAGCGCTTGTAACGTTTTTGTTACTAATGTCTAGTCTTGGGCAACCCGTCCGAATCAAGTATATCCCCTCGCTAGCCTTCAGCATCGCCCGCCGGCGGTCTACGCCGAATAAGCCGATCAAGCCCCCAGGCAAGAACTGGGCTCGCGCCTTCGAGAAACGCCAGCCCGAAGTCAAAGCGAGGAGAGTCAGGTCGATAGACTGGAACCGACACGAGAAGTTTATATACAACAAGATTACGGAGTGGTTTGAGGTAATCGGCAAGGTCCTACAAGATCCGACCACCACTATACTGCCGGAGAATGTCTACAACATGGACGAAACTGGTGTCATGCTAAGCATGCTGGGGTCCGTTAAGGTGCTCGTAGGCAAAGACGATCTACGAGGCTATAGGGGCGCTGGTGTCAAACGGACTATGATAACGGCGGTCTGTTGAAGGTAGCAGGCCTAATTGTATAAAGCTAGCTACTCCGCGAGCATTAATACTCGCGGACACGTGACATGACACATATATGAAACACTGGTCTGGGATCCAACACGGTCGAGTGTATTAGCGCTGATGGTAGGTCGCTGCTACCGCTCATCATCTGGCCAGCTTCCACCCATCGGAGTAACTGGACTACGCATCCAACCTCTGGATGGCATTACGGACATTCGGAGAATGAGTACAATGACTCGAAAATCTGTTTAGAGTGGCTTACGCGTATGTTCGATCCCCAAACACGAGGACTAGCTAACGGCAAACCACGCGTGCTAATCAGTGACGGCTTTGGGACTCACGAGACCCTTGAGATCCTAGAGTTTTGCTTTGAAAACGGTATCATTTTGTGCCGTCTGCCTTCCTACACCTCTCACAAGCTCCAGCCATGTGATGTTGGCGTCTTTGCCCCGTTGAAGACAGCCTACCGAGTTGGATCCCAGGTCACGTGATATAGGACGTGCTGCATGGCAGGCAGCGGCGCCACCATGGCGACTGCCTGTAGTGGCGCTAGGTAGATGAGGAGGAGTAGCGATTATAAGTAGTTACATGACCTCCAGCAGTTAATGCATTATCACACTTGTTCTTACTTCAGGGTTTCAACTTACCGCGATGGGGTTGAGCGGTTAAATAGAGGCATAGACAAGGTTGGCAAGGAACACTTTACTTATCTATACCAGCCAGCAAGTGACCGAGCGTTGACCAAAAGGAATATCAAGGCCGGCTGGGCCGCGACTGGTTTGTTCCCGTTCGATCCGAAAAGAGTGCTGCGAGATATACCCAAGCCGCCCGCGGAGCTTACCGCACCTGACACATCTGCGGCACCCTGCCCTCAAGACGAAGTACTGAGCCCGGTGATGCCCGTTACACCTGTGACGGTTGGGGGTCTTTCGTCATTTCACAAATTAATCAAACAAGATGCTTGTGCATCCGAACGTCTGCAGAGGCGCGTACAGAAGCTCGCAAGTGCCGCTCAAATATCCTTTGCTAAACAACATCTCCTTTAGGATCACAATCGACTTTTGGCTCAAATCAATAAAGAAGGCCGGGTTCGCCGATCGACGCCATCCAAGGTCCTCGGGAAGGCGAAGGTAATGAGCTTTGAGGACCTAGAGGAGGCACGAGCGAAGCGTGCTGCTAAAGACAAAGCTACTGTAGATAAGGGCAAGGGAAAGCGTGGTCGCAAGCGCAAGACTCGTGCCCCAGAAGTCGATATGGTGGAAATTGAAGTATCCGGCGAAGCTGCCGAGCCATGGAGGGCCCCAGTAGCGCGTATGTATTAGTATATCAGGACAACGCCGACGGAGTATTAGGAATGACATCTTGCTTTAATGTTCATTTCACATTGCGCATTTGATACGAAAGTTTGCATGTGCTACCTCGAGAGAGGTCCCATTATGTGTCCTTTGCTGACTGCCGAAGCACAGCCATTAGGCCAATAGCCCAAGCTGACTGTATTAAATAACAAATGTAAAATACGCCACCATAATTATGTAGTCTGTTATGCCCGTTTCGCGCTATCTTGATATAGGTCTCGCTTCGCTCAGAAGTACCATTGAAAGAATGAACAACGCATGAATGTTCCCGCCACATCGACGCAAAAGTCCAGTACGACTTTGCGACATCGCCAAAGGTTCTGAGGCTTGTATAAGACGTATACCTTCGCGTTTTAGTCGTATAAGCTACGCAGCGCTGGCGTAGCAGAGAGATACTTTTATATGGCGAATGGATGCTCCTCACGAATCAGGCGCGGATGCAACCATGCAAATGTAATTTATTAGCAGGGAGGCTGCCGTATATGCTCAGGTAGCTGAAGTACACCTTCCTTACTAAGACATAGAATATTTTGAAGTGTGCGGAGATCTATTCCTATTCAAAGTCGAGGTACCTCGCGTAATTTGCGGCACGGGGGGGTTTGCGCAACTTAGGGAGGGAGGTTAGCTACTTAATAACTATTACTGCTTTCTACACCTTAACACTAAGCTTAACACTAAGTACCCCTACGTACAAGCTAGCTCGCGAGAAATTAATATATTAGATAGAAATAAGCTTATTTTAGCGTTAGAATCTAGTACATAAATAGCTAGTACGTTTAAAACTATATTGTAGGGCTTCTCCTAGGAGTCCTTAGACGGAATCCGGAGGGAGTCCTCTCCGTCTTTTTCAAACACTGCTCGGGGCTAAGGCCGGCGTAGCCGGGTACGTCGTCTGGGTTGTCACCGGAAAGCGTCTTCAGGCTTTCAATCTGGTGTTTGGTCACACAGCCCCTGCAGAAGATAGTCAGCACGTATCTCTTCGCGGCCGAGGAGCTGGAACTGAAAAGGACTCACCAATGGCGCCCCTGCCGGATGTACTTTTGATCAGTGTCGAACCACGATTGCGTGCCGAGTCGCAGCTCGCCCTTTGCAATCTTGACGCCCACACGCTTGCAGGCCGCTTGGTAGCAGACAGCCTTGTTTGAGACGGAATGCTCGACACGCCATTTGAGCGCATCATCGCCCTCCAGGGCTTGAGTGGTGGTAGTTTTCGTTATAGTCGTGAGTATCATGACGGTCGGTGATAAGGTGAAGAATCAAGCATACGCGGGGATTGTATTTGTGTGTTTGGATGAGAGACAATGATCTAGAATTAGGTCATACTGGTGTGTGGGCTTTCATAGAGGAAGGGGCGACTCTTGGCGGCGTTGATGAAAGAAGTGTATCAATCCATTTCAACGACAGAACAAAGAAAGAGGGTGAAAGTGAACAGGGTACGAGACGGATGAAAGAAGAGGCAGTGAAGAGACATGACGAATAGGTCTACAGCAGATACCTTCAAACGGTGAATGACGTGGTTGGGACCAAACTGTCCCTTTGCGCCTCCCTTGCCGAGATCCCATCACCGAGCCCGACGGACCACACCGCGCATTTAACACGCACGGCGTCCCCATCTCAACTAACTATGTGGCATCGTGCATAGTGAAGGCGTATCTATGAACGAGATGAACGTGAACGTGAACGTGAACGTCCAACGCGTCTTCGGTGTTCAACGCCCGCTTAACCAGGGGCGCGTGCGTAACCAATCATATGTGAGCATTCGTGCATTGGTTAGTGGCTCGACAACAAGGCCTTCCTTTGGCATTCTACCTCTTTCTCTCCTCTCTTCATGTCTCTATGTTCCGAATGAATTTCGTCTATCAACTCACCCTATTGTCGGTCCTAGAAATTGAGCTATAGATGCAGATGTCGAAAGTCTGGCCCCCAAGGCCGTCTCATGCGGCGCAGCCACGGAGTTTCCAATCTCCGCATGTTTCACTCCTGCGATCCTTCGAGCGGAGCACATAATCTTTGCCTCATGTTCGCGCCGTGATGGTTCCTCGTAAATCACCCCTCTCCGACTCGTCCGCAACCATGGAACGGGCTGGCGCACGTGAAGAGGCATCGTCAGATTTGGAGAAGCCGTTGTTGAAGACGCAGGAAGACCTGACGCTGATACCATACACTCTTTACGATAGATTCCTGGAGGGCTTTGTCCATTCCATCTTTGCTCTTCTCCTACCACTTTCCGCTATTGCACTCGTCGTCGTCACGATACGTATAGGCTGGTTCCTCACGGGCCCCGATGCCGCCGAGATCCTGGTGCCCTCCGCTCATCTCTACAACAAGGGTGTTCGCGAACCATATCCCATCGGAACAATATTCAAATTCAACGAAAAGGCGACCAAATTCTCCTTTGGGGCCACGTTTGTCGCAATATTTGTTGGATTCATATCACTCGCGTGGGCTTGGATCTGCCTTTGGGTACCACGGGAAGCCAACTTGAGAAAGGTACCCCGCCTAGAGGAGGCTACTAGACTACATATGCGGGCTTAAAGCTGATTTCTTGTGCAGCCGATGGGCACGCTTTCCGAAACGTTGATGGATCATCAACTCTTAAGCGGGGCCTTCGCCGGTGGTGCTTTCATCTACACCACATACTATGAGCGCGATGCTGCGCGCGGAGATGGATGCTACACCCATGTTGACTGGAAAGGGCGGCTAGTCGCCAAGTGCTCACCGGAATCTGCTGCCTGCTACACCAATTATTGGCCAGATATCCTATCCGACTATGATCCGCGCAGCCTTTGCCGAGAAGCTGTGTGTATGTCTCCTTCACCACCTAACCCGGCATACTGACATTGTGTGTAGCGAATTGCACGTTATCTAACGCTGGTTGTAGCGTTATGCACCACAGCTCTCTACACCGTACATGCTCACCATGAGCGACTTCGCCATCGCTATACCAGCCAGGAGCAGAGGAGAGAACAGGTGGAAAAGGACGAAGAGCAAGAGACTTCGAGATGGAAGGAAAAGTCGAGAACCCGAAAAGCATTTGAAATCATTGGACGTGTTCTTCTATTCACGAACGGAGTTCTGGGAGCGATAAAGTGGTATCGCGAGAATTGACAACGTCTTTTCTTCCATCTCGTAAGCCGGTACGTAGAGCCAGTAAATTCATTTTGGTATACCGGCCTGCAGCATGCGGCTCTCTTCCCACAAGTGTTCCATACACTCAGGCGAACCCGGATAGACTATCCCCACCAGCCATGATCGCACAAGACTCCTCCGTTATCGTTCTTGTAACGCAGTCATTGCTAGCGCCCACTGCGCGCACTGAAAGGTGAGTATATGAAAGAATGTACATATCTTCCAAGGGCAAATGTATGCAAAGTCGCCATCCCGGTTAGTACCTTCAATCAAGGCGATTTCTACTCCAGGTTAATGAGATAACCAGTCCGATCGTCTTACAGAATCTCTTTGTAATTTATTTCGAGCCGCTACTGAAATTGTGGCTGTTAGGGTCTACAGCTATGCTGATGTTCCTTGCAGCTCGTGCACTGCACAACACCACACTCCCTGCACCACTCCTCCCATCCGTGCTCCCCGTACCACCGCCGTCGACACCCTGCGCATGACAGTCGCGCACCACCAGGATCTGCCCCTCCAGAAGGCCCACCTACCAACATCAGCCCGTCCGCACCCCGCCAACCCTGCAACGCAACAGCTCAACGCTTAGCGTCCATGACCACACCAAACAACGCCCCCAGACGCCATCCACTTACCACTTTCAGCATACCCTGTATCGAGGGCCTCGCCACCTCGTTTCTTGGCAGATTTTTTCAGAGACTTCTCTTCTAGACGCTCCGCCTCGCCACCCGAACTGCCGTGCGCCCGCCGTTGCCGAACCCAGCAATTTCCCCTGTCACCCCTCCGTTCCACTCTCACCACGCCCTTCGACCACAAAAACCCCATCTCCACAGCCCCAACGCCCAATCGAGGACGAAACGTGAACAGATACAACAAGGGCCGCCCGCGGCTTTAAACATTCCGTACAGAAATCTAAGCTCACGTCAGCAGCCCCCGCCCGCCGCGTGACTCCCGATAGATGTTTCTAGAAGAATGTCACACCTCGTATCTAATATATGACTACGTAAGCACGCTAAATTCTCAGGCCAAGACACACTATAAGCACCTTCGCGCGGGTGTATCTGGAATGTATGCGTATATGGGTCAAGTGACGGGAAATTCTTCAACTATTTATATTATTAGACTTTCACTTCGATCCGCTGAAGTTTTAGATTTTGACAGAATTTGCGTTCAGGTGGGGGATTGAAGCTAACATAGTTCTATATAACGTAACAAGAACAACCAACAGCATGCTCAGATGCGTTGTACTTTTGGGGTTGCATATTAAGCATCTAGAAAGAAATGCCTAAGGATACTATCACAGTAATTACAGTTCGATGAGATCGTAGGCACAGGGATAGGATGCCTTGACATGAAGTTCATCCCGACGCAGAGGGCTTTCCGTCTCGCAGGGGGGCTATTTGAGAAACAATAGCTATGCAACGACGTATCCCTCATCGCCCTCTACACTGTAATACCATGCCTCCGAATCTTTCTGAAGAACGGAATTCCCCCAAACAACTTCCCAATCATTCTCAAAAGCCTCCATCCTATCGCCCTCACAAACCCTAGTCGTTCCATCTCCATACTCTCGAGCACCTTCCAATCAAGATCCCAACAGCATATCTCCACCCTCAGCTGCTCCTCAAGATCCACTTCCGTCTGCTCAGCATCAGCCTGATGATGCAGAGGCGCAAGGATCCACTCACCATCGCGCGTAAACCTATCCAGATACTCAGCCTGCGTGCTAAACCGATCTTCAGCATCATGTCCGAACTGCTCAATAGTGAAATCAGCGATGAATTGCGCGCCACTAGCTGCGGTGATGCCAAAGACGCTCTGAATAGAGGGGTCACTGTCTTCGTAAGGCTTAA